GCATTTTTATCTACTTATCGAGTCCTTCCCAAGGACCTGGGATAGGCAGATGTTGTTGTTTGATGGTGTTAAAAGTATTATTGCAGGATGTAAATTGTTCCAAGTAAAGCTGCCTTTTGCAATTGACTGATGGTGATTTTGTCAATGCCAATGGTCTTCAAGTGGTACTCCAGATGTTTTTGTTGTTGTTGTTGTTGTTACTATTATTCCATGGATGTTTTTATGTTTACAATCACATTACTGTATACTGCTGAGAGCTGTTTGATTACAGCTGTGTAGAAATCAAATAAATAAATTACTGCAAAACACACAGTATAAGGATTCTCTCCTTCCTTCTCAAAATATATGTACTAAATTGGAAATGCTGACTGGAAAGAAAAGAGAAAAATGTTTCAATAGAATTTATCATGTAACCTGCAATTAGTGCTGTGAAACAGAACTTCCTTTACTGCTCTTCAGTTTGGACCCTATCCGTTCATAGTAGAAATCACTGCCATACTTTTTTTAAGTGATTTTCCCCTTTCAGCATACTCACCTTCACCATCAGGACTCAGACATTCATAAGAATCCCAGCGAACCAAAGAATCTGAGCTGTTACAGTCTACTATTATTCCATGGTCATTTTGTAGATGTTCACATCCTGAAATATTGGAACAACATGGATTCACTGAGGATACTTACACACATCATGAGTTTCTATATAATAAAACTTGATGGAAATGAATGGGAACAGATGCTCTAGATATAAATTCTTTCCCAAATCAAAGTTTGGAAGAGCTAACACCACCACAAAAATATTCCAGTCTTTCTCTCTGAATGTTCTACAGGCAAGCATTTCTAGTGAGAAGAACAAACATCTTCAGTGAGGATATCTATTGTTTAAAATAAAGTGTTACATGCATTTTACTACTGTTTTTTGCACATTTGAATCAGATCTAAAAATGGCAAATCAGTTATTGAAAAGCTGGATAAACTAAACCTTAGGAAGTGATTTTATATATCATTAGATGGATTATTTCTAGTAATAACTAGAACCTCCCCCACATCCTAACAAGGAAGCAGACTAAAATTACTTTGAAGATCAATCCCTAGGCTCTCACTTCCTTTCTTCCTGCCCTGCTCCAGTCAGTGCCACACAAATATCTCTGGTAGTGAGTAGTAGTAGTAAGTCTGTATGCAAGGTTAGGGAGCAAATAATAAAGATGCTGGAATGGAATTCACAGAATCATAGGGTTGGAAGGGACCTTGGAGGTCTTCTAGTCCAACCTCCCTCAATCCAAACTTGAATATATGCACAACTCTGTATCTCTGCATGTGGAAAAATAACCCATGCTTTGCATACAAACATGTAGATCATGCCGATCCAACAGGGCCATTGTCCCATTTTCTGTCTTAATGTAGTCTTCCCAGATAACTGACTTAACCACAAGTTCTCAACAGGGGCAGATCAAGTGGACAGGGAGATAACATGTTTTAACAAATTAGAACAGTCCATTTAATTTTGTTAACCTTTTCTTAGTGATGGAAGAGACAAGAAAGTCGGATGTAATATAACACTGAGATTTAGGGCTAAAATAGAATGAGCTCAGCTCATTCATTCATTCATTCATTCATTCATTCATTCATTCATTCATATATATTCACTCACTGTTAAGTGAAAGGGTATAGGAAATTGTAACTTTTTCAGCAAGAATGTAAAAAGTGTCAAGTGTGTTTCTGAACAGGTACAGAGCAGAAAGGAAATGGGTGTGGTAGTACCTCTCCCCCCTTCTCTAAACTGGGAGCCTCCGCAATGATCCATAGGGAAAACAATGTTCACATCTCCTGTTTTGCTTCCAGTTTGACTGCCAGCCAGGCTAAGAATTTTCCTTAGAACATTATGTTTGAACAAGATTGCAGTGTCATGTTTTTAAAACACTGGAATCCAATTTCATCTCTGGCATGAACAGAATTCTGGAACTATGAGGGACTTGCAGCTGTATTTGGAAGTGAAAATTTAGATATAAGTTAAATGGATCTTAGCTTATGATTATAGTTCTATGACACTCCTTTAAATAAGATATTGGGATGAACTGAAGTAAATTCCAGATCAGATTTTACTCACCTGGAATTTTTTCTGGGGATCCTGAAAACACCAGTTCAACCCTTCCATAGTCAGGAAAACGATCATCTATAAAATAACCACAGCAGAAAATAGTTCAGAAAATTCATTTCTCAGGGATCTTAAGAAGCACATACAAAAGTTAGGGTTGCATGGTGGATGAATATCAGACATGCAAATAATATTCCAATTTTACATTCTGCCTTATAAACATCCCTGACATTTTTATCCAAAAGAATTCATAAGCCAAAACTAAATTATAAAACATATTTTAAAAATTAACATGGCAAAATTCGGATCTCAATTTAATCTGCAATATTTCCTTTTTTTTAAAAAAAAAGAAAGGAAATAATTATTTTCTGAATTATTGCGCGAACAAGAAGTAGAACATAAGAAGCTGGCTTAATAAAAAGATTTTATAATAGTCTTGGACCCCAAAAAACTCCAAGCTCTATAATGAAGGTACCCTGTACTGAATTTAGCTCAGTATTGTTCATACTAATTGACCCTAATTGTTCAGATTTCAGATAGGAGTCTCTCCTGTTCTACTGGAGACTGAACCCAGATCATTGTATAACACATGCTCTATATTCTCTGCACAGAGTCCATCTGGAAGTGCTCTTCTGCAAGCCATACTGAAATGAATGGGAGGTACATAATAGCACTGTCATGCACTTGCACTATTTCTGTTCATTTCAGAGGGGCCTGAGCAGAACTTCAAGGTGAACTGTGCCCAAATAATAATTTTTTTTTTCTCTTAAAAAGTTGGCAGAGATATGATAGTGATATAAGTTCTTCAAGTATACATTCAATTTTTCATCCATTATCAGCTTTGGGTAAACGTATTTTGAAAATTTGTCTAGCACAGGGTTCCTCAACCTTAGCAACTTTTAAGATGGGTGGACTTCAACTCCCAGAATGCTGGCTGGGAAATTCTGGGAATTGAAGTCCACCCATCTTAAAGTTACTAAGGTTGAGGAACCCTGGTCTAGCACAAAAATCTGCTTGCCAGACATGCCAATAGGTGAAGGAAAGAAAAATGTAATAAAACACCATGGACAATCATGGTTCTTCCTACCACATTCATCCTTTTAAAAAATATAGTCTGTTTCAAGCTCTGGGATGAACAACTAATGGCTCTAGTGTGGTCATTTAAAACAACTGTTTCCAGTTACAAGAAACTGAGATTTCATACATAACTGTTACAGATCCTTAGGTTTTCTTTGTAAATTTTATTCAAATTTCTGTATGTCATACTACATATTCTGATCATACTGTATATTATAAAGCCCTTATTGCTTGAAAGTGCTTAGCTTAGAGTACCATTGGTATTTGACACCAGATAAATTGTCAAAGATGTATAAAGGTATCTCAAATGTCTGTTGGAAATGTAATCAATGTGAAGGTACATTTTATCACTTATGGTGGGTTTGTGAAAAGGCTAAGAAATATTGGAATATGATATGTACTTTGATTCAAAAGATTTTGAAAATAGAATTGCAATTGAAACCAGAGACTTTTCTTTTAGGTATGATGGACAAACAACTGGAAAGATAGCATGGAAATTTATTTGTGGTTTCCAATTAGAGACAAAGTTGGACAGTGTCCTGGCCTTGAGCTTTGACACCAGATAAATTGTCAAAGATGTATAAAGGTATCTCAAATGTCTGTTGGAAATGTAATCAATGTGAAGGTACATTTTATCACTTATGGTGGGTTTG